TAAGTGCCAAACATGAGACTTGAATAATAAACAGAAAGTCGAAAGAAAGTCATCAGGATATCCAATAAAATATCAAAACATATTTGCTCTGACTTTATGCTATTTCATCCCAAACGGAGTAATGATGACATGTTAGAGCTCCGAGAAACTTGACTTTTAACTAGCAGACCAGTGGGAATATATGGAAACTTAATTCTACCAATGAATAAAAAATAAAGGTAATTGCGATTCTCTCAATCTCACAATTCAGACTTATTTTCTTACAATTCTGAGTTTAGGCCTAATGTATCGCACAATTCAGACTTTTTTTCGTACAATTCTGAGTTTAGGCCTAGTATATCGCACAATTCAGACTTTTTTTTCCTGTGGACTAGCAGTTCTGAGAAGGCTGTAAAGTCTTATTTTGAGATTAAACTCGCAATTATGAGATATAAATTTGCTGTCGCGATAACCGCAATATTGTAATATCGTGCTATTGACAAGCCAACTGCAGATTGGTGGGAAGTAACCGCAACAACCGCGATGTTCACTTTTTTCATGATGCTATGCCCTTCTTGTTGTACACTTAATGCACGTGTATGAATGTTCAATAGGTTAATAATCATAAGAGTGAAAAAAGTAATATTTTTACACCAACTGGCTTTTTACGTCATGTGTCCCATTGTGAATTGTAACGTTACATGGTTCCGTAGATTTTCACTAAACAGACAGAAAGAGAAAGAGAGAACATCTGAGCATGCGTGATTACCTGCGTCTGTCCTTCTTCAGGTCAAGTTATATATATATTTGTGAGAAAAAAAAACGGTTTACCCTCAGTTGTCAGAAGATGAAAGAGGTATCTTTGTCATAGCATCCTTTCAGCGTTTAACGGGATTTCCCACGACTGTGTCAGCGCTGTTCAGTACACTGAATCAATGGCATTGTTCTCTATGAAGTAAAACATCAGTTTCAACATTACCCAGGTATCGCGTTGATCGTCCATTGAGCATTGTAAAGTGGCACTCAATGTTAAATTAATTTAACATTCATGAACGGTGCGTTTTTAAATGTAGGCTATTAGTTGACTCACTCAAAAAGACAGTCGCTTGCCGCCACCTCCTGGTGTAATAATGTAAACTGCACTGACTGGCAGCCTGTGTAAAACCAGCACAGAGACAAGTCCCTGTACTCATACTGCTGCAATGTCAAGAACACTGTCCTCTTGTACAAGCCGAAAATTTCAGTCACCGCGACAGCCCTAATCTGAGTAGAAAAATATTATTGATTTGATTGCGAGATAAAAACATAAAATTCTGAGAAGAAAAGTCTGAATTGTTCGATATAAACTTGCAACCATGAGAAAAAGCATTATAAGGAAAAGTTTTCATTCCGAGTCAGAATTGTGAGATAAAAAGTCACAATTACTGATTTTTTTTTTATATTATTGATTTTTTTATTCTGTATTGGAAATAAGCTTTTATGTTATGTTATGCTATGTTAAAACTAAAATAGTGAAACTAAAGTGCGTATCAGGAATCTCTTTGTTGCTTCTATCGCAGATGTCCTGTTCACAGTATAACATTGTTTTAAAGTTTAAGGCTGTTTCGACAAGTATATCATGTAAATCCAGCACAAGTGTTCATTTGTATAAGATTAAACCATGTTTAATAGTTGAACCGTGCTGAAAGCCTTTTTTAAGAGAAACCAAAGGATTCTTTTCAGTCTCTCAGGCCTGGTACAAAGGCACAACTCGTTTGATGTTCTGTCTGCAGATGGGACAGATGGGCTGCGGCAAGGCCTGATAGCAGCGGAAACAGCAGCACACGTGTCCGCAGTCCAGCAGCACGCAGCCTCGTGGGTTACTCAGGCATATCACGCACGCATTCTCCGATACATCCATGCCGTTCTCCTCCTCTCCTCGCTCTCCTGCACCCATCATTTCAAACTCCCTCCTCATGTTCTCCTGCTCCCATCGCAGCTTCAATTGGCGGTAGTACCTGCGTCCCGCCCACATCAGCACGGCCACACCTGCCAATGCGCAAATGCACGCCAGCACCCTCCACACCTCTGCCTGCCCTTCCTGCTCCAGCCGCAGGGTCTCAAAGTCATCTGTGCTCAGGAAGTACTCTGAGCCGTCGGTGGGTGGGCGGATTTTTGGGAGGCGGTCGGTGTCCAGGATGAGCTCACCCACTGCGGTCAAAGAGGCACCCACTTTCAGCATCTCCTCTGTTTCCAGTTGACCTTTGGGCTTCTCTCCACTCAGGTACTGACTGATCAGGTCCGTGAAGCCATAACTGGCCTGGTGGAACTTCTCATGGACGATTTCCATTTTGGGACCCGTGGCCTCCAGGGGACAGAGCACACGCACAAACGCCTTGTTCACACCCAGCAGGTTAAAGGGCACAGCATTCACACGCTGGTGAAGCACACGCTCGCTGTCTGTCCTGAAAGATGTGAAAGAGAATTGTGTGTTTTAGAAATGCCATGTTAGACTGACATGTATACAATCCCGTTTGGAGTGTTATATATTTTTAATGTTTAAAAAAAAAAAGTGAATTATGATCACCAAGGCTCCATTTATTTGATCCAAAATACAGTAAAACAGAAATATTATTACAATCTAAAATAACTGCTTTCTATGTTAATGTATTTTAAAGTGTAATTTATTCCTGTGATGCAAAGCTAAATTTTCAGCATTCATTACTCCAGTGTTCAGTGTCACATGATCCTTTAGAAATCATTCTAATATGCAGATTTAATGATCAAGAAACGTTTCTTATTAATGTTGACAACAGTTGTGCTGATTAATATTTTTGTACAAACAGTGACACTTTTTTCAGGATTCTTTGACAAATAGAAAGTTCAAAAGAGCAGCATTTATTTGAAATAGAAATGTTTTGTAACATTATAAATGTCCTTACTGTCACTTTTGATTAGTTTAATGCATGCTTGCAGAATAAAAGTATTAATTTCTTTCTAAAAAAGATAAAATCTTACTGTCACCAAACGTTTGAATGGTAATGTATATTAATATTAGCGAAGACCAGGACTAACCAAGTGCGTGCTAAACTGTTCCACACAAGTTTGTGTTCTCGGAGGACCAGTTTCTGGATGACACCAACACTGCCTTCCTGAAACTGACTCCTTAACGGTTCCCCAATGGACTGCACTGTACCTACAGAGAGAGAAAGTGGGAACAAGTCAGTGGAAAGTGAAGGAGAGATTGAGTTATATTCTAAAGATCAGCTGAGACACTGTATAATGGAAAGTGAATGTTACCCTCGATGACCACATACTGCAGACATTTTCCTGGCGTGGCATTCAAAAGATCTGCTAACTTTTCATCCAGTGGTAAAACTGGAGCTTCCTAACATCAAAAACAAATTGGTTTCTTTTCAGAAAATTCTCCTACTCTTTCACTGCTACAAGTGTAGCAGACACTTTAAATCCAGAACAAATTCCAGGTACTAATTCCATATATCCAAGTTATATTTATATACATGCATATATACTGTCTAAATGGTCATTTTTGCAATGTTACTCACATTAAGCTTGTCCACAGTTTTGCATTTCTTCCTGTAGATGTAATAAAACAGACTAGAGAGAGCCACACTTGAACCCAAACACACCATCTCCAGTGTCCGGATGGGGAAATCCTCCATCTTCCACCTCACCCTCTTCCTCTTCTCTAGACTACTGAACACAGAATGAAATCATAATGAACAGGTGCAAGATTCAAGATGAATCAAGAGAACCTATGGTGATTTGATTCAGCATTGATTTTCCTTCATTTTTACTCCTGTCGTTCATTTAGCAGATGCTTTTAATTACATTAACACAGGTTAGTTTCTTTTAATAGTTCAAAAAACGTCCAATTTAAATAACTGATGTCATTTAGGGGTTCAGTTGACATTAAAGTTTGTGCCATTAACAACTAGATGTGTCATATAGACAAACTTAGATGTTGGCTTGAGAGCCTGGTTTGAAAAAGTTTGAAAAGCTTGAAGGTTATAGTTTAAAGGTGATCCAGGTCAGAAAGAATCTCAGACCAACAGACAAGAAGATTTTCTAGCTGATTACAGATAGATAGAAGCAAAAATGAAAGACAGAGAGAGATGTCAACGCCTTGCAAGTCTTTGTTTACACTGGAATTGAACATTTCGATCATTTAAATCTATGGCATTTTGGGGTGTTTTGATTGTCGATTTAAGAGAAACCGACATAACACTACCAACACCACCGCAATTAAATATACATAACAATAACCATAGTTCACCAAACAAGACAAATAATCTGTGGGCTGTCAACATAATATGTGACCCATAAATTACCTTTAAAGACTTTAGCCTAATACTTCGACCACGGTTACACATGTGTGCTCATAAATAAATATTAAAGTTCTATCTGAAACAACAGAAATGAATATAGCGTGAATAAGAAGCAGAAATAACCTTTTACACTCACGATCCTCCTGAAAACTGCGACGTTGTTTAGGTCACGTGGCACGTCAATGCGCGAGGACCTCTTATAGGTAGCTATGAATTTTGCCTGATTATGAATTTGGGGCCGTTGTATAAGACAGTTAACTAACTTGTCTGACCAGCTAGCAGTTAGCCCAAGAGTTATCAGTCGTTTTTTGGATTCAACTTAAGCTAATCTACATTTGTAT